TCGAAGTGGTTGGAAGTTTTTTTAATGACTTCAATCACAGCATCAGCTACTATAAGTAAATTAAGGGGATTATTTGCTCAGTTTGGTCTCCCGAGAACATTGGTTTCAGATAATGGACCAACGTTCATCTCCAACGAATTTCAGAATTTTTTACTTAATAATGGCATTGTTCATATGACGTCTCCACCATACCACCCAGCTTCAAACGGGGCGGCTGAAAATAGTGTGAAAACTATTAAACAATTTATTATCAAGACTTTGAAAAGTTCTTACAATATTTTTGATGAGATTTCGAAACAATCTCAGATTACAGAATTAGACCTTTATAATTTTTTGGTATTGTATAGAAATACAGAGCATTGTAGCACTGGCGAATCCCCTGCCCGTTTGATGCTGGGCCGAGCTCTCAGAACTAGATTAGATTTAATTAAACCCATAAATATACCGGTACGTAAACCCAAACCTATGAGTACTATTAAAGATAATATTATCAAATCACAAAATCGTCAGAAGAGAAATTATCGAGGAAAAATACGGGATCGTCTTGAAATAGGACAAAAGGTGCTAGTGAAAGATTATAGAAGGGTTAAACCAGAGTGGACATCGGGAATTGTAATTCGTAGATTAGGAAAAAATATTGTTAAAGTAAGAATACCCAATACCAATTTGGAATGGAAACGTCACATAAACCAGATTCTCCCTGTTCATGATAGCTATGTGAATTTAGGAGAAGTTGAAATCAGTAAGGAACAAATTGTTTTGCCTCAAGAGGTGGAAAAATCGAGCTCTCAATTAGGTAGCAGTGAGGCACCAGGAGCGGTGGTGGGAAAATCACAAGAGAGAGATTCAACGATGTCAATATCGAATTATGATAATATCAATTCAACTAGTAGTGATCAAGAGACTGGTCTATCGCAAATTTCTCCCAGTGAATTATCCCTTCGCCCCCAGCGTTTCAGAAAACCGCCTGAGCGGTTTGTACCATAGTTATAAGCACAAAAGTTCTAAATTAGAAAGGGAGGAGTGTAATGTCAGTAGGAATGTGCCTGGACTATAATACTTGTATAAAAAGTTATCTCTGACGTCCTTGGACAGGACTCTGTGATTTGGTATTTTAAAATTGGAAAATATAGTTATTGAATGAACCTTGAAGGTGTTTCATTTAGATGGATGACAGACATGACAGTTTGTCTCATACAGGTAACAGATTCATTGTCCTTTATTATCTATAACCGATGTTGTCAAATGGTGAAATAGAAACGAATCCCGTCAAATGTTGAAAGCATTATTTCATTCCTCTTTTTTAAGTATTTAAATGATTTTTTAAAGATAAAGGTTGAAATGATAAGTTTGAAATGCGTTGTTTTAGAGCTTTTTTATGAAAACTACTTGATTTTCGTCAGGAGGAACATTCCCCATTACGATATGTTTATATGATGATTAGGCACTGTTTGTCCCTACCGAACTACTAGCGCTGCTAGTGAGTGATTTTTAAATAGTTTTAAAAATAGGCAGTATAGACAATGTGGTGCTCTGGTCTTTCTATGACCCTCTCAAGTGAGAGTGGAGCGGCGAATTCCGTTGTAAGCATCGCGTACGCGCCAGTATGTGTTGGAAAGTGATGTTGGTGTGTTGCGTTTTTGAGGAGGAAGTGTTTTATGTTTCTGTAGGCAGTGCAATTTCTTTCCGATTATTTTGTATCTACCATAATGGAACAGATTCTACAAGACTGGGGTCTTGCAGAGTTGAAAGATATGTTCATGGGTAAGTATTATAATTGAATTCTTCACAAAACACGAAATTTTTCCTTGTAGTGGTTGTATAGTTTTTGAAGAAAAGAATCTCTGGAACTAATGAGCTGAATCTCTGGAACAATTTACCGGGAGAAGTGGAACATCCTTGTAGTGGTTGTATAGTTGAAAGTAAATATATTAGAATCATAGTTCCTATTCCTGATAGTATACTGGCCTAAACACATATCCCTGAGTCATAACTTAGTGTGTTGTCGCGCCGCCTATGGTAACTTGCCGTCGGGACGCTTAAAGTGACTGTTAACCGTCGGCGTCGATTACCATAACGAGACGGGGAGCGTACCATCTTATTATTACATACTTTCTGAGTTGAAATATGCCTTTATCTCGGCAAGTGGCTGGTTTTTTAATGTCGGGAGGCACACAAACTAACACAATCAATTACGGGATTGGCGAAGCATAAATGACAAGCGGGGTGTTTGCACATTTTTAATTGAAATGCAGGAATGCCCGTAACTTTTTGCGCAAAGCGAATGGCGTCGGTTTGTTAGGTATGCATTTTTATGACAAATGATGAGTTCTCCCAGTATTTTGTCAACTTACCACTGCTGCGTTCTGTATAATTTAGCGGGACCGTATTCCAACTTCATTCGTCAATTCGGAACTAACGACTAACAAACACCAAAACACGATTATTTGGATGCCGACTGTGGTTATTTATTGTCTCTGCGAGGTTTGGTTATCGAGGTTACAAAGTCCAGAAGCCCAACACGGACTTCGGGACTTTGACAATTGATAACGACCATTTTGTTGAAGCTACTACTGTCAAACCAGTTATCATTTATTCAGTCTGTTTTGCCAAATCACCACGAAAGGATATAGCATTCAACAACACACACATTGGGTGTTTTGTTCGGACAATGTACCCCAAGTTGAAGTTTTCGAAAGGCCCAGTTCTTGTGAGCGACGCAAAATCGACTGCCTCGGATTCTCCTGCACACTCTCACAGACAGCGCAGATATTTTCGGCATATCTTGCGTTTTGTCGACGTACGGGTGTTGGCCGATCTTTCACTGAATCAATGGACTCAAATATATCCACCTCATTGCGAAGCGTGCGGTACGTTGCCCGAACGGAACACCTATTTTGATGAAACAATTTTATTATTTGCACGTGTTGTTGAATGTTTTATCCGTCCATGGTGATTTGGCGAAACAAACTGAATAAACGACAACTAATTTGACAGATAGCCCCTATCAATTATCAAAATTCGGTTGGAAGACCCGTTATTACTATTATTACTAACGCATAGAGCTTAGTATTCCCAGATGGTAATACTCTGGAAAACTTTGGACAATTTACAGTGCTCTTGCCAGGTCTACAAATCAACCCTCTCGAAAATTATAAAAAAATCCACTTCATACAATTCATAAACGATTATGTCTAATAAAATTCCAGTCATCAAAGATTTCTCCTTCTTTTCAGGAACAGAAATCAAATAACCCTCGAGAACGGAGGCACTAGAGAGGGAACAACCAGCCATATACCCATGTTATATATACAAAACAACAATACTGAAGTATTTTTATGGTTTTAACGGTCTTTCTCCAAAGGATATATTACTTTCATTTCGAATCAATTGCGACCTATCCCCGCTAGGCCTGGTACAGGAAAGCAGAGAAATCATTCTCACCCACAATTAATGGCTATAGGAATTAAAAACGTAAAGACAGTTATTGGATCCCATTGATACGGCGCCCCTCTCACAAATCAATCTAGATTTATTTTCGAACACCGAAGATCTGATTGGCCCGATTTGGCACACTTTTTCCACGATAACTCAGATCGCTAATCAACAGCTAATTTCTCACGAACCCGAAATGATGTTAGTTTTCGCAGTATGAAGAAAAGCAGCACTGAAAGGTAATGAGATGTGTGTCACTGACAATAGTTCTGATTCCATATTTTGCTGTTTACAAACTTTTGAAAGAATCCAAAAGTCTGGTGTCTTGTACCAGTCTCAACGTTTCGGCGACATAAGACTTTTCTGCGTTACGAAAAATCAGCTATGCGTCGTCTGCTCTTGGAAACGTGGTTTAGTAGTTAGTTTAGTCTGTCCCACATACTTTTTATGACGATTAGCTCGGGAAGACAAATCAATGGAATAAGACAAATTTTTGCCATCACGCACTTAACATTTATTTGGAAATTTGTTTTTCGCCCAAGTTAGCCACTTCAGGAGAAGAAGAAAATAGTTCCTTACTTTCAAACTGGTCTCTATTCTTATCTAACAGCGTCCAAGTTCACTTTCACTCTTCGATAAAATCAATGATTTCGGGTAGAAATTTCAAGGAAATTTTCTGGTCAAAGTTCCTGTAAATTTCAACACAGTCATCCATAAAAGGGTAAAGGGCTGTTCAAAATGGGATCTTTGTCACAGATTTTCCTGGTCCTCGAACATGTGCTGCATGTTCTTTGAAACGACTTTTAATGGCTTGTTTAGTCTGACTGATATTGGTTGGACTTTTCCGGAGGAGTCTGAGAAAATTTGCTTAGTAGCTAACTTGACTCGATAGGCTAATAACAGTATTTATGAACAGTATCTTAATAGTGTTTTCTTCAATAAATATTTGACATGATTTCTTGAATTGGCATAATAATGATAATAGAATTCATTCATCAATCAAAGATTTTACAAGGCGTCATACATGCACACGTGTATAAAACTTATTAGACTAGTCAAGAAAAAGAAAATTATTCACAAATAAATTCTTAGGATAGTCTATAGTCGCAAACCAAAAAAAATATCCATACAATAGTCAGTTTTTCAATAAAAAAGTATCAGGAAATATAAAATTCTTCAATATTATAAAATACTTTTTCAAGAAGTATATTTATCGATTTATTCATGAATTTAGATTCACATCTATTATATTTGTCACATAGAATCAATGGTCATACTTGAATACTGGCTATAAATCAAATCATCTAATGAAATCCACTCCCTACACTATAGGTTAATGGACTGACTCCTATCAGAAAACAACTACTCTCCTGGCTAATACCAAGAAGGGCGTTGGATTATATCCGACAGGTGGCAGTGCAGGATTCTTCACTGAAGTTATTCCTGCATATGCAACTGCTGCAATGGATTTTCAATTATTGGATCGGTTTCGTTCATTTGGCCTCTCGTCGGTGCAAGTTAGTGTCTATCATCAACATAAAGTCGATGATTTCCGATAATTGAAAATCCTTCAGAGTATCATCCCTCGAAATAGGCTGAAGCGGACAACAAACAACAGATTTGTCATCGTTGTCGTATGAGGAAAGCCAATTTTTATTTTCTTTGGTCATATATTGGATTTATGTTGGCAAATGGCATAAATCGAACATATTTTTTGTTCAACTCGAAATGAGGTCATTTTCAAGGCTATATATGTCTATTTTATTGGATGCTTTGTTACTTAATTTTTTGCGACATCAGAATATCAATGTCAGTATATAATCGTTCGATTTGCGAGGTACAGCTGTCGTCAATGTCACTCAGGAACGTTATAAACAATAGTGGTTCCATAATTGAACCCTGTGGAACCCCTGTGGTTATGTCATAACCTCTGGCATGGAAAGAATCTAATGAAAACACTTTCCTCCCCCACCAGAAGTAGCACAGTTTTGATCACGAGTAAAAGAAAGTGTTCCGCTTAAGAATAATTGTTCTGGTTATTGTGGAAGAAAAAATTGTTATCATTTGAGATATTTCATGTTAGAGTTTTCAATTCTATAAATCAAGGTATTATGTATCAGTTTTGATATGTTTTTTCAAAAGTGTGTGGCATTAGCATTCCTCTTGTGCTTATTCTCCCTTCGAAAACTGATGACAATCAAAACCGCCCAAAAGGAATGGACTACAACTACTGATTTTCAAAAGATCTCAAAGAAACTTACTTCTGAATCCCCTGTGATCCTCGTGTATTCCAGGCGAGTCATTTCCCTGGCCGTGTCCATCCCCATCCTCGGACATGTGGGCATCCAGACTCTCCTCCTTCACAGCTGTCTGCGGTTGGGGAGACAAGGAAGCACTAGCAGGAGAGCAGGAATCAGTTCGAGGGCTAGGACCAAGAATCCTTTCATCAGAAGGCGAGAAAATGCCGTGGTTGTGACCGTGGTGGAGAGAATCCCCACTCGTTTCAATTTTCAAGCACTTCGGAGGAGTAAACGCTGAAGGTGAAGGAAAAG